GCCTGCACAACCAACGGTGATTGCACAATAAAAGACTAGGGGTAAATGTCCAGATGCCTACCGCTATGGTTGGGATAGATAAGCTATGATGGAAGAAGCAACAAATAGTTTGAAAAAGGCACAGAAACGAATGAAGAAATATGTTGACCAGAACAAGCATCCCTTGGAGTTCAAAGTAGGTGATAAGGTATTGTAAAAGTTTATTCCGCATATTTGGAAAAAGATTGACAGTCGGGTTAGACATAGAGCCTTGGTTTCAAAGTATGATGGTACTTTTGAAGTTGCTGAAAAGTTAGTGAAGTTGCTTACCGATTGAAGCTGCCCGAAATAATAAAGATACATCCAACTTTCCATGTGAGTTTTCTAAGGCCTTATGCTGAAGATCCCGAAGATCCAGACAAACACAAAATAAATAGAGCTCTTCCTGAGGTGCGCACTCAGCTTAAGGAAAAAATTGAGAAGATTCTTGACCACCGGATTCTTAGGATGCATAAGAAGAGCAGGTAGACACAAGTTCTAATTCAATGGAAAGGAAAGCCAGAGGCAGATGCGACTTAGGAAAAGGGTGCTTCATTGTGGCAATATGAACAACAAATAGAAGACTACTTGAAATCAGCCTCGACGAGGACGTCGAGTACTACTAGTGGGGGTGGTTTGTTAGCACCTAATATTGAGACATGGCGGATGTCGGGCAGAACTAATGTCCACGACTTCTAAATTTTCCCTTAACATAGGTTCGTGCGGGAGTTGTCAAGCAATGTACGGAGCTGGGAGTGTGCCTAAGTTAGTACATGGACTTGAGCAGGTTAGCTAGACAAGGCGTCTTGAGTGATGGCAAGGCCACCTTGAATGTGGGCGACAGCTATGGCAAATGAAGGCGCATGGCACTTGGCTAAGGCATGCGTGCGGATCAGTGGGAAGGCAAAGCTGTGACGAGTACATTGTCATAAGCTAATGTGCGAGGCATGGTCCAAAGACAAAGCAAGGAAAGCTAAAGACAAAGTGTGGGCAAAGATGTGGAACAAGTGTGCAAGTCATGTGACTGTGAAGAAGTGTGTTGTTCATGTGCTGTGGAAGTTTAGCCATGTGCAGTGCACATGTAGCAGTTGGCTAAAATGCTGAAAATGGGCTCATTTCGCGGGGAAGTGATTTCAGATTGTGGCTAAGTGTTGTATGCTTGTTTTTAGGCTTGGCATGTGCCAAGCACACTGTTGTAACTGCCCCTTGTAATCTGTCATAGGCAGCCCCATTATATGTGTTGTAGTTCGTTGGTTTAAGGCAAGTAAGCATACGTGAGCCTTCCAACTGAGAGTCCTTTGTATATTCTGCGAGAATTAATAAAAGGTTGGGTTCCACCCGTACTTCTATGTGTTGCTTAAGTTTTACAAATCTGAAGTATTTATTAGTCCTAAACTGTGTGCGAAAAAGTAAGGTTGAGTAGCTTGAGAGTCAAGCTGCTGCCGTGCAATGTCGTTTGCGAAAAATTGGCCCTGTAACACCTGTCATAGCGTAAATGTTGTATACTCAACCATATGCGTCAAATGAAAAGTTAAACCATGAAACCAAATCTAGCATCCAATTCTTTATTTATTTGCTTTTTACTTTTATGACATCTTTTAGTCACTTAATTTAGTAGTATATTATAAGAAAAATGGCCTAAATTGCCCCTATTGTTTGTTAAATGGTTTACGGATACTCTCCATCCATCTATTTGTTCAAACAATCACACGACATTAATTATATTAACAAAATTACCCTCGCATCTAATGGTAGAATTTGTGGGCATTCAATTTAGTGACATGACAGTTTCTTATTGGGCCACGTAGCAATCTCAGCCTGAAACGAAAAATTGACCTTATTTTCTTACCTGGGTCATAAAATACATTAAGCCATCCTAAAAAACCCCATTTTAAAATTAGAATGACCCATAGTTCACTAAGATATCCATACTCAAGCTTGTTTTTTGGGAAATTGATGCAGGAAAAATTTGATTTATAATTCTGATTTCATCTCACACCAACTGAGATCACAAATTGAGCACTAACACTTTTTCCCTTATATCAGAATACTCATGCTTTATAAATGATTGCAATAGTGAGAAGGTTCAAGATTTGAGAGACAAATTGATCAATTTTATGGAGGATCCAGCGAACTGATCCAGAAGAAAATTTAGAATTCCGCATTGTGATCCAGTGCTGCACGGACAAGAAAACTGATATTTGGCCGCAGAAGCGACGCTCTAGTCGAAAACAAATTCAATCACTTATTAGGTGCTGGCCTTTCGAATCTTGAGTAGGGATATCTATGTGAAATTATGGGTTAATGTATATTATTTTGTGACTCAGGTAAACAACCTTGGGTCGGATTAAGTGAGTCGAAATAAGACCCATTTTTTGTTTTAGTCGGATTGCCACGTGGCCTAGTAAGAAACTGTCACGTCACTAAATTGAACTCCCACAAATTCTGCCGTTAGACGCGGGGACAATTTTATTAATATAATTAATGTCGTTTGCTTTTTTAGATGGATAGATGGACGGAAGGTATCTGTAAACCATTTAGCAAACGATAGGGGTAATTTAGGCCATTTTCCGTATATTATATTGTGTAGCTTAATGGCATGTCAACACAAGAATTCTAAGTTAAAACAACGCTAAGTCATCCGAAGACAGAGGGTAATGTCCCCAACTTGTTTTTAGTAGAATAGTGAATCGTGTTTTCTTTTGATAGCTAAATATATGAATGTACTAGCTAAATATATGGTAAATTCTATCATATATTTAGCTATATGATATATCACTTAGGTTAGGCAAATCAGTGATGACATCACTATCACACAGGGTTGTGGCAATTGAAACGAGTATAAAAAAATTATACTAATGAATATTTTTCTCTTTAATATATCTTACACACGACGGCGTGAACCCAAATTAATCGGCTCTCAATGTGGTTGGTACCTAATATCGGGTGTGAAAAAAAAAACGATGGCATCACCCATCTTCATGAAAAGAACTGGATTTACTCTTAAATTTGTGTTATATTCTGTAGTTTCTTGAAATATATTGTCTTATGTATGTGGAATATCTGGAAATTCTGGCATTCTGATTCTTGAAAAGACAGGGCATGTTCTTGCCCACTTACCCATATGAATGACAAGAAAAAAGAACATGCAAACAAACATATCTCTCTGCCTCGACCAAATCTTTTTGGGCAAAACAAGACATTTAACACCTCGACCATATGCAATTTCATCAAATGAGGTGCATACGTGTTTGATTGATACTTGAAATATATGATATGTATTCCAAAAAAAGAGTCAGAAACTGCAGTTAAAGATTTGGCATATTTATTATATAAATATAATTGTCGAGACAATACTGAAATTTCATATAATCTTCCATTTGTATGTAATTGGAAAAAAAGTGACAATAATTGATGTTAGTACAAAGTATCAGGACCATATTTCTAGGCATCTATTATTCAAGTGAGATAATTAGAGTTTCATAATTGTGACGTGATGCTTGCAAGAAGACTTGTTCTGTGAAACGATTTTAGTTCCTCTCATCATTTTGTGTCTAAGAAAACTATGATAAAATGAGCATCTTATAGTTTTTTTAAGTGAATTTTATGGGTGGTCATTCAATTTTGTATCCATCATGCAAAAGTCATTTTTCTTCTTTTTGTTACATAAAAATCATTCAACTTTGTGTTCATTACCTAAAAGTCACTTTTCTTTCTTTTGTTATACAAAAAATATTTTACTTTGCTCTATTTATCACAAAAGTCACCTTGGCCAGATTTTATAATACTTTTACTTGAAAAGTCTATTATGCCCCTGACATTATAAATTTTCTCAAATATGTAATACCTTCTATATTATATACTGTATAATACTATATTTTTACCTAGATATTTTACATATAACTTAAATTTATTTATTTATTATTTTTATAATATATCCATACATTTAATATTTTCATGGCACTCAATTTGTTTAATTATATTTAAGCATGAACATATTTTAAATATAAAAATGATTTATTATTTATTTGAAGTAATAACAAACAACTTCGTTTAACGAATGATAGTTTTTTATAGTCAATAAAAATTTTAAAAAAAAATTCAGAGATATTTGTGTTTAATATTAAAAAATTTAAAACTTTATCTATTAATATTATTTATTTGAAAGTATTAATTTGATGTGTCATTGTGCAAAATGTGGGTATTTTATTATTGGATTAATGAGTATGGGTTGGATGATAAATCAGTGAGCTTTAATTTTATAATTTTCATTAAAAATATTTCATTAAGCATGGTTAAGAACACAGACTTGAGATTTGTTCACGGTAATATTACTGACAAATTTAATAATGCTACTTATATATCTAGAAAATTAATGTTAAAAAAAATTAATGTATGAATATATTATAAAAATAATATCAAATTATTTTAATTATAAGTAAAATACCTGGGTAAAAGTATATTATATAGCATATAATATAGAAGGTATTATATAAATGAGATGATTTATAATGTCAAGGGCATAATAGACTTTTCAGATGAAAGATTTGTAAAATTTGGTCAAAGTGATTATTGTGACAACTAGAGCACGGTAAAATAATTTTTGTGTAACAAAAAAAAGAAAAATGACTTTTGGGTGATAAACATAAAGTTGAATGACTTTTACGTAACAAAAGAAAGAGAAATGATTTTTGAGCAATGAACACAAAGTTGAATGACCACCCATAAAATTTACTCGTTTTTTTTTTCTAAAGAACGATGAATAATTTTTACGCTGGCTAGAGTAATATATATACTGTAAGCCTAATGCTAAAATGATGAGAAATCCAACGACCATAAGATTTTCTAATGTATGATGAACTATAAGCACCAACGACCACACCTCAATCTCAAGCAAGTTGGAATCAGCTATATAAATTATTACTTTCCATTTCACTCCATTTAAGCGTGTTTTTAGTCCAGTATTATAAACTTGTGCAGAGTTTCAATCAACATCTACACACAGGTAGAGACTTGCGCATAGTTTCAATCAACATCTACACACAGGTAGAAGTATTGGATCCACCTCCCCACCTCACGGGAACCCATTAAATTTTGTCCAAACAGTATAAATATATTTGAAAAATTTACTAAATATCAATAAATGTGAACCCAGTTACAATTGAAAATTTACTTGAAGTCGTTGCAGGAACCCATAAACATTGAATCCTGGATCCGCCTCCGAGCCAGTATGGCCAAGAGGAGTCATACGTACAGGTGCCAATGCAGCCCTGATCCCTTCGTTTAGTTTTAGACAAAGTTGGGTATGTGTGAGTTGTGACCCTATTGTGCAGGGGAAGAGCAGCAAATAAAGAATGTAGTTAAGAGTAACAGCCTTACTTCTATACTATGCAGGAAACTCAAGAAGCTGGCATATCATTTGTGTACATATCGCGTGACAATCCAGCGAACCTATTCAAGAGAAGGCAGTAAAAAGAGGCAGGGATTATTTTCATGATTTGAGGCCAGAGACATTATTCTCATTGAAATTAGATGGACCTTACTATGTTATTGTGAGGATCCCTCCAATAGAATCCTTGAATCAAAATGACAGCTACATTTGATATTATGAGAATAAAGATACCAAGAGAATGCTTCCCCATCCACTCTAAAACGAACATCAAGCGCCTCCAACCACAGATATCAACCTAAATCATATAACATCAATTGAGTTAGAAAGTTGTTCAGTATGACCTAAATCATATGCGACTGGAAGTTGTTAATCCCAGAAAGAAAGAATTGTAGTCTCAAAACTCACCAATACATACAGTAAACAAAATGTAATTCCAGCAGCAGCTGAAGTTACCAGCAGATAACTAATGGTGTACAACGATTTGTTTAATGGCACACCTGAAAGGAAAACAAACGCCAACTTCACGTCACAATGACTAAAACCAATTTGTTAATTGATAATTTGATGTTCCATAGGAATTGTAATCACAACTGGAAACATGGATTAATCCGGGAAATCAGAATCTATACTTTAAATGGGACAACTGGAAAAATGTTTGTTTCTTGTAAGAAAAGTTACAATTATTCAACCTAGGGGCTTGTATGTTTTGGCTTTATTAATTTCCTTTAAGGGAAAATTAAAAAAGAAACTAGAGACTTTTTTTCATAAATGGCACCAAGGTTTTATAGTTTGTCCGTGTGAACGAAAGGGATTTGACTTAGTACCTGAAAGAAAGAAAGAAAGATATACCTGTCACAGCAAGGAAGAGACCAAGAAACAGAAGTGGAAATGAGAGTATGGACCAGTTGTATAGCCTTTCTTTATGATCCTGAACACAGTTAACAGAAAGACATCATTTGATCATACAATGAATAGAGTAATTTAACTGGCAATATAATTATGTGCATGTAAATATGCATCAATGAACATTAATAATTCTCTTCATTCAGAGTTTATACGGCTATTTGATATAGCTTACTTTTTTATTCTAAAATTCTACTACCACTAAAGAAATACATACTAATAATATGATAATGAAAACATAATTCTTGTAGCAGTTCTTTTAAAATATGTCAAACTAATATGGGAAAAAGTTCGTCAAGTAGTAGAAATTTTCAATTGTTGCAGACCTTTAAGGCATTTCCCTGACTTTGTTAAAAAGGACTTCTTCTTAGTTGCAACGCATCAATAAGACAACTAATAATACCACATAGGTCACCTGAAATTGAACAAGAATATGGCCATATTGGAGTCCAATAATGCAGGCAACAGCAGCTGTTACGGAACTGTGAAAAGATAATAGATGGAAAAAGATGTGTCATGGGCAAAGATGTGCACTTGTAAGAATGCCTAGATTGGCAAAGGTAGGATCACAGGAGAACCAAGAGAAATGTTTAAGGACAGAAATGCTACCCTAATATGCCTTCTGGTTCAAAAGGGGCGTGGCACCACGAAGGGAAACTCTGCGGAATTTTGTCATCATTGAATCCCTTGCATTCCTGTGAATCAATACAAGTTCGAAGGGACAAACTGTGAGATATAGACTGGCTAGTTTGAGAAGTTAAGCTCAGCAGACAGTTACCTTTAGATTTCTATAGACAGGTTTTGTATATAGGTGATCTACTCCAAGAATATATCGATCAATCAATCCAGCAGAATTACATGCAGGTCCAAGATCGCCTCTAACAGAACATTTTACCTGCCAATGGTATGCTATTTTATTGACTGAAAACAAACACATGTTACGATGCTTCTACAGTATAATTACGGGAGTTATTACATGCTTAGTGCCAATAATAAACAATGCAGTTATGACTGTTCACACTCATCCTTAAGCTTCTGTTGAATTTTTGCCATGTTGTTTGGAACTTGACCTTGTCTTCAGAATGCAGTAAAGACAAAGAGCAAAAGAAAAGAAAACAGTCGCTAACCTTGTAAATACTGAGCTCTATTGTCCGTGACACAGTAAATTCCCAATCAGGAACATACAGACCATACAACAACCAAGTATGTACAGCACACAGATAAAATGCAACACACCTATAAACAGAGGTTTTAAACGAAATCATTACATAACAACTAAACACAAAGCAATTACACAAGCATGCAAAAGGATACTCCTTCCTTCCGATAAACTTGATCTATTCCTCTTTTTGGTCCATCCTATAAATTTGATCAATTTCATAGAAAGAAATCTATTCACCTTCCAATAATTCAAACTTGATGTCATTTGACTTAGTAGCGACTAGTTATTCCACCTTTTCACTTTGGGTTTGTTTATCAGGACAGTGTGAGTATTTAAAACTATGAGAATGACTTTTGTCGGGGTAGTGGATAATTATTTGTCAATATGATTGCAGTTGGACTGGCAATAGTTGCAACTCTTAAAACTTCCAAAATTTCTTCTTGTTTGTCTATGTTATCAAACTATTAGTAGCTAATAAGGCCTAATGCAAATACTTAGGTGGAGGACTTGTGACATTCCACATGTTCAATGAAGTTCTCAGAAAGCATAGCGTTATGTTATTATGCTTCCACTGAGAAAAAGAATCAAACCACTTACAGTATACACATGAAATAGTCAAAGCTGTCAGTTTATATCACAGCAAACCATTCATCAAAACGAATTGAAATGCATTGAGAAGATTTGACAGTAATCTGGACTCCAGTTTTAAGTAGATCTAATAGTACCTTCAGAACACATACACACACACACAAAGTGCGCGATCAAGAAGTTCTCTGTATTGAAAAATATTATAACAACTGATGTTAGGTTTCCAATCAAAAATATCTATTATCATATTAGGCAAAGTCATCTTACCACTGCCAAATGTAATTACTGAAAATACTTCTTTTTATCCTTCGACGTGGAAGCCATATCTCGCACAAAGCTGCTGTGATATATCCAACAGCTATTCTCTTTATAACCAAAAATGGATTAGTATATATGATAACAAATATAACTTATAGAACAGGTAAGTGCATAGCTTGTTCCTTCTACCTATTCTACATTTCTACTGCCTGTAGCCTGTCGGCCAGAGATTACAGAGTTTTCAAACATGGTAAGACCAATCTCTACAAAATCTCACATACCGAGTTACGACTAGTATGTAAATGGCAACGCCAGGTAGTTGTAGCTTTCTAGTAATCTGATGGATAAATAACAAGTAAAACGCAAACTAGACTACTAGAGTACCTGCAGAATTCCCAGCCATCGCATTTTTTCAATGTCTACGCCATAGGTCAACCCCGTTATTCCATGCAAGTAACCTCCTGAAATAAAAATAACCATGAATTGAT